AACGAGCTGTTCGGCGAGTTAGTACACTCTGTTGTGAGGGTTCTTCAATGGTGACTTATCTCTCATCCCACGACTGCAAGGTGGCCAGTAGTGCCTCGGCCAACACCAGCGCCAGACGCACCAACTCCTCCATACTCAACTGGCCGGTTGCCCCCATTAAATGCAACTTGGCACCAGGCGCCATCTGCACGCATTCAACGGCGAATGCTGGAGTGACACTCTATCCAGTCCCGGCAAGGCACGATCCAACCACTGCAGTGGACTGGCGAAGAAACGATCGGTTCGTTTTGCAGCCCCACCGTGGCCGCCTTGAACCATCTCATGGCCTCCCGGAGGTAAGCAGGCTTGTCTAACTCCACTTGTAGGGCTTCCTTTGATGCGGCCCAGTCCATCGTTCGAAGAAAGCATTTGTCCGCATCCAGGGCCGCCTTCGTTCGGCCTGTGATGAATGTCTTCAGTACCGCTAACTAACCATCACCACATCCTCCCCAACTAACTGATCAACTATGGTCTCTGCTGTTATGCCATGGAAATTAATCTAACCGTCATTCCTGCATGTTCGTATCAACCAGCCGTTGATTGCAAACTGCTGTGTGAACAAAAAATGGAAAATTCCCGTTCAATTAAATGCTAATCTGATGAAGAAACAGTTTTTGGCCCAAGTCAAGGACCCACTTGTTAAGTGATACATCAATTGGCTCCTTTCAAAACATCCCATGTTGATAGATCAAGTCTGGTGTTTTTTATTCCTTCTTGGCTCATTCATGATGGCGCACTTGGACAAGTGTGACTTAGAAACGATGCGGAACCAACTTACTCTTTAAGGTAACATGCTTGAACCAAAGCTCATTTAGCGCGTCTGGGTTATATGAACAGCGCCTAAGTATTCTGGGTCGTTCAGTATTCGCCCAATGGAATCGAATATTTCAAAAGCTACGACGTGTCCCTGTTAGACTAAAAGAGTCAAACAACCGAGTTTAGAGTACGGATCCAGTGTTTAAAGGCCCTTCTGGGCATCCCTCTGCCTCAGCAATGCTAGGAAAGTATTCTTTTTCTGCCAGATATATGATGGCCTCAGTGGACAATGAAATTCGCTAAACTGCAAAAATGTGAACGTAGATCAGGATGGTTTTCGGTTTGAGCACATAGGCAACAAAATGCTAATTTTCGGCCTAAAAAGTTTTATTCCACCCGCGATTATTTTGCAGCTAAGATCATTGTGCGGCTGATAGGTCCTGAATTCTGGAGTTCACTCCGCTCTTGGTGAGAAACGCGCGTCGTAAAAAGGCCTGAAACCACCAGGCCATCCGACGCCGGCGGCTAGACGCACAATGTATTCGACCAATCTATAAAACCCTGTTGCTATTTGCGGCTCGATAACCGCGTACCTAGTTACCGCAGAAGCTGATGGAGTGCATCGTGGAACCCACAATTTTGTAGAACAGGCAGTATGTACTAGTGCTACAGTGGACAATACTGATGCGGCATGTGAGTAGTCTGTTTTCTCGTAAATCCGCTTTGCGCGGGGGGGGGTATTACGAAATTTGCGGATGGGGGTTATTACGAAATTTGCGGAAATACTTTGCAGTTTTAGTTTGCAATTATGTGACAGTCAATAAATATCCAGGAAAGTTCAAGAAGACGCGTTCAAAAAGAAGACAGATACCTAGTTTTTTAAACCAAGGTACACATGGAAGGTTTACCTTCCTGTCCGATAGTTTGTAACTGATTAGTTGGTCTTCTCTAATAAACAGCTTCGAAGCAAAGGGCTTTCTTTCTTTCACTACTAGTGTTCGTGAGCACGACGGAAATCGTCCCTCTAGGTGTAAGCCAACCTATGTGAGCTTGTATTCAGTGCAACGCCTGGATGCCTTGGCTTTCATGACGATTTTGTTGTCAAAAAATGTGAGGCCAGTTGTTCAGAAAACGCAGTTTTATCATTACCAATCGCAGCACAAATCTACATTCAGCACTCGCAGATGAAGAGACAATGGTGAAGAACTAAAAACGGTCAAAAAAGAGTGGTGACCAGGGCTCCGTTCACCCAGCTTGCGTGAAAGGCGCACTGATTTCCATCTCAGGCACCACGTTGAGGAGGAGATGCATTTCGTGGGAGAAAAAAACCACTTGCCACACACACACCCAACAAGACATGAAGGTTAAGACATGAATTTAATCTTGGGGCAACACTTACCTTTGTTCCTCTGAGTGAATTCACCTAGAGAAATCACTCCGAAATTCGAGTGAGCTGTCTACACAACTTTAATGCAGCCATGTATGACAATGACTGCACTGTACGCAGTCTACCGTCCACCCTTCGCAGGCGCCCTAGGGTGAACACAGACACTGCAGGTATCAGGGTCAATATACGACACCATTGGCTGCTTTTTGTAATGTACTACCACGGTACCACGCTTCGTGATGGTTCGCACCTAGTGATTACGCAACCTGACACATTGCAGGTAAGAGTTATCACCACGTAAATCAAGAATGCCGGCTGGCCCAACCATCTTGTTCTCGTGTACAGTAAGAGGACTCTTTCGGGCATGTCTGAGTTTGTCGTGTTGAAGGAACTGGACTTGTAGTTGCACATCACAGGCGCCTTCAAAGGGCTGGCGAGGAAATTCCGATATCACCAACAGCCACATAAATAGAGGCCGAGTTTCGCAGTTCGGCCATGAAAGCACCTGCCACCCTCAGCCATAACACAGCTTGGCACACAACCTGCACAAACTTGGTGAGCATCATGCATCAAAATCAGACAAACCCAGATGAACGATTGTCCCACAAATAATCTGTGTGATATTTAGAGCAACAATCTGGTCTAAGTACCGGTAGCTGACGGCTGAACACCGCTCAGTAGCAACAGCCACCTACCAGACTCAACTAACGGAAACAGCAACTGTCAGCGTTACTCAGCGGCTAAAGCCGCACGGCGATGTGGCAGTAACCACTGGCTCGTAAAGGAAGGCAGTGTGAAAGCGTTTCTCCAGACTTCTGCTCATACCTAGACACCGATAAACGGTGTTGAGAAGCGCAACATCTACTCTTTCTCCGCTGGGATTCTCGTAGTTCGGACTCACATTTCATGAAAGAATAATACTCACGACCGTGGAAGTGCTCTAGCACTCATCTTGTTACATTGTCTTCATCGGCCGATGCGTCCTATGGACATTAAATGACAATAAAATCTTATATGAAATCGTACCAAGGTGCGATATACTTGCCTTCGGAATAATGAAAGCCACTGATGCTGTGTTTGATGAAGCACCAGACACGGTTCTCAGAGATCCGGACCACACGCGAAGCGAACGAGGAATGAATGATTGTAGGATCTCACCGGCTTTTATAGGGTCCTGACGGCCTTGAAATACTAATAGCCCGGTTCAGACCGCAAGCCACCAAATCTGTCTGCTCACACATTGTTCTCGCTCTTTCATTTTTGCGGAGAATAGTGCAAGTTAAGTTAATCGCCCTTAGGTTGGACGTTTTGACTTAATTTCCTCCTAGAATTTTTATCAAAGAAATTCACTTCTCAAAAACGTGGATTAACTTCTGGACGCCAATCAATCATTAGCCTCGACAATATGTGGGAGCGCCGTTACAGGTGTGATGTTTCGGTAACTACACAGTCTGGAAGCTTGATTTCTATGCATTCGGGTAAATTACCGCCTTACATGTTAACGGAATGTCTATGCGACAGGACTTGCCCAAGCAGCTGTGCCCATGCCGACAGCAGTAAATACGTTCTCAGAGCATCCCATCCCAATAACAAGTAAATACTATTTTGGGTGTATTAGTTTACACGCTTCCTTTAGGGAGGGCCTTTTCTCCCTCGTTGGGAGCAAAGTCGTCATACTTCCCTTGCCATCTTCATTGTGAAACGAATGCACAACAGCCTGACACATCTTCCAGTGTCTCTAAAGTACAGGCGTATGCTGTTTTTTCTCCTGCATCCACACCATACTGTTTAGCTAAAAAAAATACCCTGTAATTTTACTCTGTACAGCAAGGTTGTCCACTTCGTAAGCGACTGCGGATGGCACTTTTGTTCACACTGAACTGCGAACAGGTCTACAGAAGGCCTGTCTGACAAAGTGCGCTATTAAGTAAAATCATGAGACCTTACTGTGAGTCTGCATGGATATTCGTTAAAACAGATTTGGTCGATTTTTCCAACTGCTTCCTGCTAATTAACAGGAACGAAACCATTTGTAGTAAATGCACCTTTTGGTGCATCAAAACCGCTTGACGTATGAGACAGACTATCGTTGATTTGCACTTAGTTCTCCATGAATGGTTTTTTGCGTTCAAGCTATGTAGAATGTGGGCCTATACGAATAATTTATTACAAGCTAGCAAGGACGTTCATGAAACAAGTCGAGGATACTGCGTTGGTGACAGGTGCAGGGTCTAGGAAGTCAGTCTGGGAAGAGAAATGGCAAACTGATGTATCGCGAGTGACCGTCTATTGGTTACGCCTGCACTGAGATTGCCAGACAACGCGCTAGAGAGAAGACAGGGAACTCGGGACACGGCTGTATGGTCAGGACAAAACATACAAAGCGTCTGCGTAAATATATAGCATGACTATAAGATCCGGACGGTTATGGATCTCACAGGACGATTGCGACTATTGGATTATACGCAGTTCGCAGCCAGTAGTCAATAGGAGCAGACAGACGTGGGGCAGCAGATGATATATTTAGGACTGACAGGAACTGGTTAATCAACAATGACGCAATCAGCAGGAGCGGGAAGTAGTCACTGACGCAGCACGAATTTATATAGGGCAGTCTGACAGTGTGAATTGGCCGTAACGGCGCAGGAGTCAGTACGTTTGGGATGTGAGGGACTGTCCTTCGGTCGGCGTCGACGCAGCCGTTCGTGTCGCGTGACAGGTCAGATTACGCGGTTTCGTCCGTTTAAACCAAAGCTCAGCAAAGGCTATCTGGCATGCGTGATACATGGGTAATATAAAATACTCGGCTGTCCGGGTGTCAGGTCGGTGTGGTCGGTTGCGCGTTCGCCTGCCGCCCGGAGGATCCGAGTTCAATACCCGGTCGGCCGCTTTTCCGTCGGAGTGGGCGCCCAAAATAGGTGCGATCGAGGCGAACTTGCAGGCAATGACGGACGGGCAACAAAATATTGGCATCACTTACTGAGGGATAAGCAGACCTTAAGTAGGAACAAAACGGGGGAAAAACGAGCAGCAAGAAAACGAAACGATGTCATAACAAACAGGTGTAAGTCATGTTACTCATGAGTAGTCAAAAAACAAGGAAAGTTACCCTTGTTCACCGTTGCTTCACAGGGGGAATCAACAATGACTAAATATGATCGTTCACTTGTTCGTTCTGTACAGCCAATGGCGGTGTCCCGGTCGTGAACAGTCTCAGGCCCACTACGGTCGTCATATGTTGCTAAGCCGTGTTTGGTGAGAGCCGCCAGCTCACCAAATTTCCGGACGTGTCGTATCGATGGTGACCTTGAGGATGCGTCACTCTCTGTACATGTGCTTTTTTCACGTCTGGGCTCGTCCTGACACAAACGTTGAAGCTTCTAGTTGGTCGTTCAGCCCACCACTTTTACCGACGATCTCAGACCATAACGATAGAAATCGACAATTCCTTCCTTACAGTACTTGTCGGTGCTTTGGTGCTACATGGTTTTTGTGGTACGCTAAGCCTCAGCGGTATACTGAATGAATCCTAAATAATTCGGTCTAGAAATTAACCAGTTTGTCAACTGATATAGATCCTTTTCAATCAGCTGGAAAATGTTTGGGATGTAGATCCCCATTAGTTGACGTGATCTCCAAACTGGGTTCCGATCTCTGGTTCATTACGAGCAATGCAAATCCACTCCTGACCAGATTAGTTAATGTATGCTGTCAATACCGACGGATACGGGTGTTGCATAAAGGGCCAATGATGTCTAATAGTCCTGAGAGACCTACTTAGTAGAGATGTGCAATTCTAACTAGACCAGACAAAGGCAGTTCTCCTTGGTGAGAAGGAAACATAGACAAAGCGTGTCGAGGACATGGGATGGACGATAAAAAGAGTGGGACATTGGAAATCGACTGCTTAAAACATCTGGCAAAAATTATCAGCAAGAAAACCTGGGGCAAACAAGCACGCTTATTCATCGCATGTGCATGCTTCCAAAAATCCACAGGTACGGCTGTCCGCTATTTGCTATACTTGATAACAGCAGCTCCACTTACTGGTTGAAAAGTCTGAACACCTGCGGAAACAGCCGTGTTCCCACAATCTTCAGGACACATCGTTCACTGCATTCACAATATCGGTAAAAATCAGATGTGTTTCTTAAATGTCCCATCCATTTTTACCCCTGATCCAACCTGTAACTTTGTTACCCAAGGAAATATCATCTTAAGTTGTCTTTATGATTTATGTTGAACGTACGCTATTTACTCCATGGATCCAGCATTAGAAATGAGACTCCATGGGGACTTTGCCTGACCCATCAACCCCTTATTCAAACAAACTTCTAGTTTAGGGGCAACATTCTGATGACACTTCTACCATCTTCTGCTGATATGTGGGGGTTTCGATTGATATTCCGTCCTCCATATAAAGTGTATCTATACCAAACAGCCCAAAGTGCATAATTAACGAGACTCTAGAGAGATTCAAACCCACGCCCTCCCGGCTGGTGACTGAACACTGATAAAAAAACTAATAAAATAACACATGATTCACTCATTGATACACAGGAGCTACTTCACCCCGTAATTTGACCAATCCAGTATCCCTATTTGCTGTGGTAGTGAGGTCGGCGACCACTTTTAATTCCTTGATGTCGTGTCGAATAAGAGAACGAACGGTACATTTCAGAGACGAATTTACCGAAAATCGACATGGTAAGATCAGTACACAAGTTTCCAACAATAATCACGTCCACTAACACAGACTTCCGAGCTTCTTTTGCATAGGTACCCGGTTCTCATGAGAACGGGGTACCGTATCCTTCAATTCAACATACGCTGCAGGTTTTCCAAGTTGAAACGGGTTGACATACGATGCTTAATGACCGCCTATATGACGGCGGTTACCATATCGCGAAGTCCATAATGAATTACAACGAACCTGTGGATCTCGCGATTTTTTGGCAGATAAAAGCGGGAGCAGTAAAAAAGTCCCAGCTTTGGCTCATCAGCAGTACTGTCTCACTTTGTACCTACCAAGCCAAGAGTCATTTGACAAGCACAGCACCCCAACATATCAACGGCCGCTAGATTCTTTTCTAAACGAAGACAGTTGATGCCGTAACATTATCTATGAAGAGAATCCCTTGACACCCTTGAGTTTAGGATCGACGTATATATTGCGGCTTGTTCGTGTTGTCCTGGGTCGACTGAAGTGAATCCGTTTGGTAACATAAGTGTTGATGGAAGTTCGTCTGCGTCGATCAGTGTAAAATGGCCTTTGGATTTCGGGCTTGAAGAGCCACAGCATCCACTTCTATCCAGCCATCCATTCGAACGCCTGCTTTAATTACGAACAGACCGGCTACGAGTCTCAAGCATCGAGTAGGTTGCAGCATATTTTCTATTGCATGATGCAAATCCGTAGCATGTTTCGTTGCTTTTCAAATAGTGATGATAACAAGAAAATTGTGTCGATAGTGTAGTGTGATGATTCTGCTGGAAGCGATGAACCCCAAATTTTATGGTGCATTTTCCCAAGTGGACTGCTCTGTGCACATCCCATACATCCAATCTTGGCAATAACCCCGTGGAAGGCGCCCATCGTTTCATAAAGCGCGACAATTCGGAAAGGCAATGTAAATCGTGTTGAATAATTCAATGGGCGTTATGCCTTTGACCAAGCGAAGTTCAAGCAATTAATCAGTTGGATGACAGTCTTGGACGATATGGTAGAAGTAGACCAAATATATCCTCGAATGGTTTCAAAGACAACTTGTTTGTTTCAGTTGAATATCGTGGATTCATTATCGGTGATTTAACACTCTGACCGTCTAGGGTAGTTTCGTTGAGAATAGCAAAACCCAACGCCTTCATACTAATCAGTAAAGCTGCATCCACCCGCTTTCCGTTTAGAATAGGAGAAAGCAGATAAATAACCTCTTCTGTGTACTTACAAATCCTTATTCCTGGTCTAGCGTATACCCGTTTGCTGTGCGTCGGACCTATTGGGGAAGAACTATGTGTGTACAATGCTATGCATTCACCGGTGTGAGCTGAAAGGATACCTCGAAACATCGCATGAATGGAACGTCGATCAAGTCAGTTCTGGCCAACTCCTTAAGTTGTATGCACTCTGACGAGATCCGACAAAGCAAACTTTTTCATCCGTGGATCGTCTGATATAATAACATCGTGCAGTTGACTTGTGGTCTCCAGTATCTGATCTTCCACTGGATCCCACTGCAAAGCCAACTGCCCTCACACACCACTGGTAGGTACAGCTAGCCAGAAGGACAGAAAACGCCAAAGTTATCAGATTAGGAAAATTCGGATGTAACGGAAGTGGGACACACTCATCCTGACCGAAGGATCGTAGTCCAAAAGCACACATGTGTCGTGAAAAAATTACACCAGCGATTCAGTGTATAATTCTACTACAGTATTTAACACTATTGTTTTGGATCATCATACGAACGTACAGTCAGACTTCATGTACAAACCAGTGTTGAGTAGCCTATGTCCTTTGGCATTTGCCTTTTCGCCGGATAGTATAGGTGTATTTCTTTCGGTGGTCGCTCTCGTGTCAAAAATAAATTCTGCTGCTCCCATAGTATATCAGGAGCGTAAAAGTACTCTACTCCTTCTCATGCGATACCCCTCCATTTCTTCTCTGAGTTGCGTCATACATTCCTACCATAAATATCTAGCGAGATGCAATAAGCTTGTATCAGATGTCTAATGCAAGAAAAAGCCCGACTCTTTGGTTCAAACGTGAACTGATGGCCTATACAGACGAAGACGTTTTGAACAGTCTGACATCACAGATATTGCATACCCTAGATAATGCGTCGCTGGAAACTTAGTCGTGGTTGGCAATGAGTAAAAACTGTAAAAAAAATATGAAAACAGCTGCGTGTCTTCAACTCCTTCGCCCCACTTAGTCGTGGCAATGAGTAAAAACTGTAAAAAAAATATGAAAACAGCTGCGTGTCTTCAACTCCTTCGCCCCGCACAATGTAACAACCAACACCCTAGTTGCTGGTGTTTCTTGCGTGTTTTAGAACTACTGGTTGTTGGGGATTTCTTTATACTGATGTCGATATACGGATTTTCCATATTTGACTGTTGTGCCCAGGCTGGGTCGCACAGTGAATGAATAGCGAATTACACTACTTGACCACTGCTTGCATACCAGCAAGGAACGCGCGTACGACATGTCACCCCCAACTCATCAGAGCCGGAGCTTGCTTTGCGTTCGTTGCGACACCGACGTGGGTTGTATGTAGGCGGCTAGCTCCCGCTTCCACAAAACTTTCCAGTATATCGCTCAGTACTCTCTACTTTCTTGGAATTCGCTGGGCTGAGTTCACACGTTACTAACACGAGGCGAAACCGAAGGGTACAATCGGTTCAGATGGAAGGGACGGTGGTCAGTAAAGACCACGTGGGATGGCTGAGTGACTGGATCCCTCAGAATCAAGCGACCTAGAAAAGCGCCCATCGTACGATCAAACGGCTGCCGTCCCTTCGCCATTTTACTGAGGAGGCCTGGCTTATGTGAATCCGGTTCTGTGTGAAAACTGAAAATCCATTCTGATGTGCCTCTTTATACCATTTCGATAAGTAATCGTTCCAAAAAATTTCCCAGCACCAGTGTTGTTGCACTTCAACCAACCTCCATAAGCGGGCTAGGAAAGATTGTCCCTCGAACTTGAAAGTATACAGGGGTTTGACTGTCAACACTCAACGAAAAATTGATATCGGCATCTTACCAACTTCCGACTACTCAGCTCCTGTATGGATGAATGCAAGCCTAAGCAGCCCACTTGCATAAGCTGATTTTCAGCCAAACATCTTTCAGTTGGGGTGCACAATCTAAGAAAGGATTTGTATAACGATTTGGTTTTGATGGGATGCTCACCTGGAACCCAACTGAATCTCTGGATTATGATGTCTTTCAGCAACTGCTGCACCAGAACGCTTCATGTCCATAAACGAGAGA